GGGAGAGGGCAGCATGTTCCTCGGCCCCTTCGCACTTAGCTCTGTGGCTACATGTGTGATCGAAGCCTGAAGCTATCACAGTTAACCATGGCCTAAGAGGCTACCAAATGACGCTTATTGCAGACCACACCAGTGAACTGAGAGTCAGACGGCGATGACCGAAAAGTTTCCTGGTGATAGGACTGACACCAACGGCTGGTTAAGCTAAATGCCATTACCGTCCAACAGTTCAATCATCGTTTTCGAGGAGGTCCACCACGTGCTCCACAGCAAGGTGTTGCGTTAACGGTGACGCGCTGGACTATAGTGAGTAGACTTGGATAATATTTACCTCACGCTGATCTACTCTTCCACCTGGGCCCGGTGTCTAGACAGAGTCAAGAAGACCGGAAATGAGAAAAAGCGTTAGTTGACAGCCCTCCAAGTTACGGTCTTTAGTAAACCGCGGTAGTCTCAGACTCGGATCACACATGCACCTGCAATTGGGTCAACTAAATTAACCAAATCTGCCAAACCTCCTAAATACCTACATATAAATTTTAAGAAAAAAAAACGTTAAAGTCTCGTTGCTTAAGTAGTTCCATGAAGTTACAATGTTTGTTTAAAGTCGGGTGTTGACATAGAACAGTATGGACGTTGACTGCTTGCGCTCACAAAGTCCTGGCTCCCGTTTCGATGTAGTGCCAGAGGGCGAGAAACACTTCGCTCCCCAAAAAGGCGATGTCGCTGATAATATGGATCAAAATGTTGTCATAAAAGCTCTGGCTGATCAGGCCAAACCTTCACTTATACAAAGGAAACCGATGTCATTTAATACTGCAATAACTATACCATTGATATCGACACTGCGAAAACGTACAACTAGAGAGTACTTCTAAAAGCTGGATAGTAACGTAGTGCAAATGGGAGTTACCGGCGACGAACATAAAACCATTCACTGCGAGCCTCAAAATTTGATTTCTTTGTTGGAGCGAATGCAGCGCAATCGCTTCCCCTATTTCCAATTGCGTCCCGAAACTCGCACTTTTGGCTGTATGCACGTGCAAGGCAAGTCTGGTTAAATGTCGTAATAAGAAACGAGATGTGTCAGTGTTTCCAACGTGAATAAGAGGTGCCAGTCCTCCTAAACATATTTCAGAAAATCATTCTATTTCTGCATTCGTCAACCCAAATTTAGGGAGGCAAGCCTTTGGCGAGCAATACTTCACTATTCATTTATGCGGTATAGTGAGGTCAAGGACTGACAACATATTCAACACGACTGTCAACAGTTAGGTTCTGGTGAGGTCTAAGAAGAGCAGTTGACTTAACGCAATCGTCGACGAAAGGTTAAATTTACACAACCTGGACAGAAGTGACCGGAGAAAGTGATGGGAATGCTGGCGGACAACAACTATGCTGAATGGAAGGCAGAAATGTATTTACAGGTGATCAACAAATAAAGTCATAATTCATCTGAAGTAGAGGGGATTAAAAGTGACCCAGTGGGCTTTTGGCTGATTTAGAGCTTCCTTCGACGTCGTAAACAGTGATTTATAGACAGATGATGCGTTGGGATCATCCTGTATAGATCCGTTATTATGAAATGACAGGCCCTCTTCCTTCTTTTCCTTCTTTACTGGAACAGTGTGACTGGATTCGGTTGTGCGCTTCCCACCAGCAACTGCAACAGACGTCTTGTCCTGGATTTTATATGAAGTGGACTGTAAAAGGGGAGAATATTTTTGAAGACATTTCCAACGAATAAAAAGTAAGATTCCTGGACAACAAGTTACAGCACGATGCTGTGAAATAATATACTCCATTCGCTCCCATTGTCAGGCGGTTAGTTTCTAACAAACACGAAGTGACCGAGACAACCTTGAACAAGCAAACCAAAACAGCCTGACCTCCCCCATTCAGTTTCTACCATCCTCCTGATCGAAAAGAACTTTACTAGTGGTCTTGAAGCACGTGGTACTCGATCCAAGATGTGGCTATTCGAAAATAAACAGCTGCCAAACTGGTCGAGAGAATATA